ATGTTTAAACATTTTTAATGTAAAAGAATTCTTCAGTAATGTTAACCAATCAGCACTCAGTATCAGTAATGTTAACCAATCAGCTCTCAGTATCAGTAATGCTGACCAATCAGCTCTCAGTATCAGTAATGTTAACCAACAGCTCTCAGTATCAGTAATGCTGACCAATCAGCGCTCAGTATCAGTAATGTTAACCAATCAACTCTCAGTATCAGTAATGGTAGTGTTTGCTGTAGTAAAGGAAACATTCAGGTGAGTTTTCTTTGTTTTTTTAGTGAAATTCATTCTTCTACTCCATTTAGCTCCATTCACCCCATTCATTGCGGACTCCCTCGAGGGCGCCCTCTGCTGTTCTGCAGTCGTGTTTTTAATATAACGGGGGAAATAGGAAGTGGCCAGACTCCTCATAAACCAGCTCTGGTGGAGCGTCTGAGGCTGTGAGTAGGTTAGCATTAGCTACAGCTGGCTCTGGTCCGTGTCACTGTGGGCCACGTTGCCGTTGTATCTACGTGACGTCAGGTTCTTCAGGATGTAGTGGCCCATGTGGGTGTGTCGGTAATACTTGCAGTACAAAAAGGAGAACACAGTTACCAGCAACACCAAGCAAAGGACAGCGCAGACAATGATGATCAGCAGGTAGTCCTCTAATAAAGAGACAAAGGAACAGAACATCAGCTTCACTTTCACAGATTAGATCTACACATACAGTGTTTACATGATCTTCACACTCACCTACAACGTTAACCGTCACAGTCATTGAATCAGAGCCTTCATCATTGTAGGCAGTGCAGTTGTATTGACCCTGATGTTCTGACTGGACACTGTTGATGATGAGGATGGAGGACTTGCTGAGATTCATCTTTCCAAGTGAGCTCCAGGTGTACTGAGGACTGGGGTTACCATGTGCTGAACAGTTCAGAACCAGCTTGTCGCCCGTAGTTACAGATATGGTATCATTGGAAGGATGTGTTATGGTGGGCTTGTCTGATGAGAAACAGAGAGAACACTGTTAGACACAGATGATGACCTACAATACATATTAAATACACTGTCATTAGAAGATCATGAGGAAAATGAAAATAAAGACAATAAAAGACAAAGACAATACACACCAAAGGAATAAAATAAACAGGACAGAAATGAGAGAACATACAGCAAGGCTATGAGGCTACAGTAGAAGAGCAGTAATGAGTAATGAGATTAGTTTTCAGTTCAGTTCAAAGAAGAAATGGATGAGCAGTCACAAAAGTGATGGGGCGAAGAGTTCCAGAGCTCAGGGGCTGTAGCTCTTGTTGCCAGCGCCAGAGGATATCTGGGCCCACAGCAAGTGGTACACAGGCTGGGCAGCACTGCGGACCTGTGGATCAGTGGAGAAACGAGACCAAAATTTACGTCTAGTTGAAGCCAGCGCAAGTTTATTTCTGAACCGCCCATGCTCAGAGCTTGAAACTAGTGTTTCTCCAAGCAATCCACAGGGGCATAGAGCGCCATCTCCTGGTTAAATGGCAGAACACCATATAAGACAAAACAGAAACTGTTGGAAAGCTACTAGAGTAGTTCTGATCATCAAAAAAATAGAAGGTGTCTGTTTTACATTAACTTCAGAGGGAACTTTCTTAACCCTCTACACTCTAAAGGACCTGCCACCAAGAAGACAATCTAAGTGGGGAGAACCAAAAGCCCAGAGCCAGAAGACCTGAGTTCATGTGAAGGGATGTGCAGATGAAGGAGCTGAGGTAAGTATGGAGGTGCCAGACCATGTAGAGCTTTAAAATTAAACAAAATATCTTGTCTTTAATATGTGAAGTAAGGGGAGGACAGTGTAGCCGGTATAAGACAGGAATGATGTGCTCTGCCTGTTTGGTGTTTGCAGGGAGAACCTTAAGAACAGAGTTACAGTAATCAAGCCGAGAGTTTTAAAAAATGCACAGAACAGTGTCTCAGCATCTTTTAACTTCAGCAAGGGCCAAAGACTCTTCAAAAAGAAAGTCAGCAGAGAGTCAAATAATACACCAAATATTTGAACTAACTGAGCAGGCTTAACAATAACTCCATCAATATCTAGGATAAAATTTGAAATCTTGAGGGGAAACTAGCATAATGTCAGTTTTATCAGCACTGAGTTTCAGAAAATTGGCATTCAACCCATTATTCAACTCAAATGTACATTCAATCAGAGCACTGGGTGGTAAACCGGTGGTGCATTTACTGCTAAGATAAATCTGGGTGTCATCGGCATAACAATGAAAACTAAGACTATGCTGGTGGATGATTTGAACAAGTAAAAGAATATAAATTAAGAAAAGGATGGGACCAAGGGCAGAACCCTGAGGCACCCCTTGAGTAATTGGAGCAGTAGAGGGTTTGTGTTTATAGTAATAAAGTGCCGTCTGTCAGATAGATAGATACTTTATTGATCCCGAAGGAAATTTAGTAGCCGGTATCAGTCACACAACACAGGACAGTAATAGTAGTAAGGGTGAAACAATATAACAGGAAGAATAATTATAAAAAATCCTATCTATAAGCATATATACAAATAGAGATATACAAAAATCTGGAATACGATCTATAACCTGAGATGAAAGTGGCAGTGCAATAATGACTGTACACGGAGGCGCAGTTACGGCACATAATGTCAATACTGAATAAATATGTGCAGATATTGGTACTGAAATAAAGTGTCTAGTGTGGAGTGTCCAGATGTGTAAGATGTGCGGTAGGGGCTACAGAAAGTGTGATATGTGCAGTAAGGTGTCCAAATGTGCAGATGGATAAAATAAACCTAAGATTTAGCTTGAGATAAACCTGTGATTTAACATGAGATTCAGATTCAGTCCTCATCTCTCCTCTTCCCTCTTCTCTATTTTGGCCTCACTGGGAAGAGTTGAAGAGCCTGAAGGCTCGAGGGACAAGGGATCTCCTGAATATCCTTTGTCAGTGAGGTAAGATCTAAACCACTGCAGGGCTGAGCCAGTAATGCTGACATAGGAAAGACGGGACTAAAATATGTTATGATTTACAGTATCGAAAGCAGCGCTACGGTCAAGAAGGAGAAGAATGCTAAAAGCGACTATTTCAGCAGTAGAAAGGAAATCATTAACTACTTTCCGCAGGACAGTTTCTGTGGTATAAAATGTGTGAAAACCACATTGTGTTCTGATAAAAATGTCTGAAGCTGCAAAGCAACAACTTTATCCAATACTTTCCCTATAAATGAAAGGCTGAAGGCCCATAATTACTGAAAATGGATGTGTCAAGGCCAGGCTTCTTAAATTTTGCACACTCCGATATGTGCAAGCAGGAGAGAATATGATTGTTTCTTGTCTTTACATTAGTTTCCAAATAACCCAAACCTCCTTAAGAAAAGCATTGTGATTAATATTAGCAAACTAGCTAGGAAAACTAAAGTTACAGATGTCCAGACTAGCTTGACACTTTTCACTTCGCCTTGGCAGTGTTAAATTCTCTAAACTCTGAAACTTTCTGTGGGACGTAGGGGACAAGTGCCGTTTGTTTTGTTTACTAATCACTCCTGGTTTTAAATAGGGAGTATTTTTCTTCCAGTTTGTTTTCAGGCTTGGTTATTTTCTAAAACCTTTATTTGTTTTGTTTGTCGGTTTGGTGTATGCATGTCCCTGAAGCCGTCATTCCACAACACGTTGCTATTGAGACTTTTACAAAAATATAAATAAACCTAAGCTTTTCTTTGGATTAAATGGTGTCCACGGTTTGGTCCGGCAACCGGCCTCACATTCTGTCGCAGCCTGACCCTAGACCGGGTCAGAACACTGGACTACAGCACTGGTACACAGTTCTGTTCACAGGTGTAATAAACTCACAGTGTACTGTGATGTTCAGAGGTTCTGATGTTCCCACTTGTGGTTGTTGGGGCTGCTCCAGCTTCAGTAGAGCTGCACACTGATACTGGACTCCATCTTCATCACGGCTGGCCAAGACATTCAGTGTGGCCGTCACATTCCCGCTCTTTCTCTCCTCTCCAGAAGAGCTGAAACTTCCGTATGACATTTCAGTGACTGTTCTGTTGTTCTGGTCCACTCTGGTCCACTGTACAGTAAGGTTCTGTAAGGGACCCACATTCTTAATCTCACACGTCAGGTTCATCATCTGATCTTCTGACCACACGCTGGACTCAGAGCTGATCTTCACACTGTCTGGACGCTCTGCAGAGAGAGGCAATTAAAAATTAATTTAAGAAGCATTTTTTACAACAGGCATTTTCACAGAGCAGCTTTACAGAGAATCCTATTTCAGCCCCAAATGAGCATCACTGAGAGCAACAGTGGAAAGAAAATCTCCCCCAGATTAAGAGGAAGAAACTAGATGGGAACCAAAAGGGGAACCCATCCTCCTCCGGTCAACACTGAAATTGATAAAGAAATAAAGTGAAAATTAACAAACTCACTAGACTAAACTGGCTAGGCTAACATTAGCTGGCTAGACAAACTCAAATTATCTAGAACATAGAAAAAGGAAAGAACTGAGTCTGTCACTGGACAGGAGTGCTTATATTAACTAATGAGAGCTGATGACTGTTAAAGGCCTCTCAGTCTAACAAATGAGAACCAGATCAATGAAAACCGATGATTACTGTTAGAATCGTATCCCAGTGATCAGTTCTGTGGTTGGAGCGTAAATCCACAGTAAACTCTGTGATCAGAGAGAGGATCTGTGTAAGGCAGTGAGTGGAAAGAGGAAAAGCAGCTTTCAGCATTTCAGCACTGCAGTACTGAGGAAACTGAACAGGTGGGATTACTGTACTCACTGTAAAGACTCAGATGGACCCTCTTTTTACATTGTTCTTTATTCGGCACTGTCAGGAAACAGAACAACTCTCTTCCGTTCACCTCCCACTCTGTCAGACTGGGCGATCTCCACACCACACTGGTCTCATTCTCTATTTGGACAGGATTAATCTGAGACTCCCAGCCCAGAATGTGCTGTGATGAAGTTGGTTTGGTTGGTATGGAGCAGGTGAGCTCAACAGGTTCTCCGTACTCCACCAGCAGGGTCTCATTGGAAACAGTGAGTGGTGTTGAACAGCTGTCTGTAATGAAAACAGGAAGCACAAACTGATTCCAGACAGATGTTTATCAGACTGGTTTAGTATCAACCTCTGTAAAACTCTCCGACAGTCTTGAGGCTGGAGAGCTATAAATCTCCAGAATTCCCCAGACTAGCAGAGAGTAATAAAGTAAGCAAGTAAAATTTATTTATAAAGCACACTTGAAACAACAGGTGATCAAAGTGCTGGACATGAGAATTTATGACAAAAACACAGAACAAAAACAAAGAAATTAAAATTAGTGCTATCTGAGAACTCCAACTCCCAGAACTCCCTTGGGGATCATGTGACCGATGACGCTCATTCCACAACCTATCATCGTTCGGCTTCACCAGAGTTCTGATGTCTTTCCCCTGTCTTCCTTGTTCATGTGACCAGTGATAGTTAGTATTTAAAGCCTGGGCTTTGGTTAGTACTTTGCGAGGTATTGCTTTCTTGTGAGCTACTGAGCGTTTTCTCGTGTTTGCCTGCTTGTTTTTCTGACTATTGTTCTGGATTTTCAACCCTGTTTTTTTGTCTCTGCCCTTTTGGATTTTGTCTGCCTCTGGTTATGTTTGTCTTTTTGTGTTTTTGGACAGTTTGGATTTGACCATTGCCTGTGTTTTGACAACAAGTTTGGAAAGTGTTTATATCAGTAAAGCCTCTTTTTCTAATTTTATCCGTGAGCGTCTGATCAGTTCTGGAGTGTTACAGATAATTAATTAAGAAGAACAATGACACGTAATAATAACACAATGATGCTAACAATAGCAGACTTAGATAAATAAAAATATTATTAAGAAAGTCCTTGTGTAAAAAATCACCCCTACAGTCTTCTATTCACCATTTCTCTGACTCCAAGTCAGACTAATTAAGTAGCCTCTGACTCGCAGAATCAGAATCTAATCTGATTCTAAATCTGATTCAGAGCCATCAAGCACTTTCTCACAGAATCTGATTTGGAAACAAATTCAGATTCTGATTTGGAGTCATTAAGTAGTTTCTGACACACATAATTAGAAACAAATAAATAAAAGAAATAAAGAAATCATGTCGGTTCTGGATCATAGAATAAATTAAATTTCTTATTTAGAGCTGTGAAGTAGTTTCTGGCCCAAAGGATCAGGTTAAGATTCAGATTCATGCATATTTCAGGTTCAATCGCCATCCCACTGTTCAGAATAAAAACAAAGTTTCACAAGCATATGATCATTTCGATGTTTTGATGTATTAAATTATTACTGTTATTATTATTATTATTATTATTATTAATAATAATAATAATAATAATAAATTATTATTTCATATGAATGGGCATAGCAATTTGAATTCATAAACATCCAAACTCATTTCAGTTTACATAGCAGATATCTGTAAAAAGTGCAGTTTGAATTAAAAGAAGTAAATTGTGTTTTATCTTATTATTTTAAACAGATTTTGGACAGAGTGTTCAGTGAATGTAGGACTGAACCTTTACAGTCACAAACTGCAAATATCTGAACCTGCAGTAAACACATTCAGTGTAGGAGCTCAGCTCTCACTGACCAGCCCAGCAGATCAGCTCAGAGAGCCAACAGCCTAACAGGCTTTATCAGTATCAGTGAGGCTTTATACACTAATATTATCTGGAGAATTCACTAAATACTGCATTTCAAACTGAGTAGGGTACAGGAATGTCTTACCAGTTGCTCTAATTAGTATTACATATAGTGAAAATCAGTTATCTTGTTGCTAACATTATATTCTGCTACTGAAAGTTAGCATTAAACTCATGATACATATTGAATAAAATAAATGTTGTGAACTGAAGGGAAGAAAAATCAGATTCTGATGCATATCTTAAAGAAAAAGATGATCAGAAATAAAAACAATCATGTCTATAGTAGATTGGTCGATGGGGAACATTTACTTCCAGGGAGTAACAGGAACTGGAGCAGTGGTTTCAGTGGTGTGTGTATATATATATATATATATATATATATATATATATATATATATATATATATATATATATATATATACACACACCACTGAAACCACTGCTCCAGTTCCTGTTACTCCCTGGAAGTAAATGTTCCCCATCGACCAATCTACTATAGACATGAGAGAGAGAGAGAGAGAGAGAGAGAGAGAGAGAGGCGGACTCACTTGAGACTGACTGAAATGTATTTTTATCAAACATATTTTCCAGGAATATTTTTCTGTTTTTCTAGAATATCTGTTTGATAAAAATACATTCAAATTTGTCCATATTTGTTTTGAGTTTTAATATCTTCACAGAATGTTGTATTAATTGTAAAAGATGTGATCCAGTGTGAGGATGTATCTCCACCAAAGAGCAGGGCGGATCAGAGCGTTACATAACGGAGAGCGTACCAACCACAGACTGACACACAGACACACACACTATACACACACACACACACACACACACACACACACACACACACACTATACAAACACACACACACTATACACACACACACACACACATATATAGTGTGTGTGTGTGTGTGTGTGTGTGTGTGTGTGTGTGTGTGTGTAGAGTGAACACTAATCCTCTCACTGTTCTGAGGCTGTTCTTTTACATTGGCCCTACCTGAATAAGCCTCCCTGCTTTATAATAAAGCCAAACTGTTCCAAGGTTTAATCACTTCTACGGGTGGTTGATCATTTAGTGTAGTAGCTCCCAAATTATGGAATACTCTCCCCCAGTCTGCTCGGGATGCTTCCTCTCTTTCTTCATTCAAATCTCTGTTAAAGACACACTTGTTTTCACCGTGTTATCAATGCTCCTCTTATATTTGAATTATGCCTGTAATAGTTTTTGTTATTAATTATGTACTTCCTGAAAAGCAGCAATTACACATTTTAAGCAATTTCCCAGTGTTACTGGACTGTTGCTTGGTGGTTGCTACAGTAATTAGGGAGTTCTTAGGTGGTTGCTAGGCTGTCGAGAGAGTGTTGCTCGGTGGTTGGTAGAGCATTGCTAAGCAGTCATGGCATTAATGGACAGTTGATATACTGTTTAAGTTAGTTGCCAGGCTGGGGCTCAATAGTTGCTATTTTATCCCAATTAGTTGCTAAGATGTTGCTAGTTGGTTACTATAGTGTCTTAGGTGGCTACTAGAGTATTGCTAAGCGTTTCATTGTTGGGGTTGCACAACCAGATTTTTTAAAGCAGACAGTTTCATGATGAAAGTTGAGGTGATATTGATTAATCACTGATGTCACAAATAAAACCACAGGAGAAGGAAATGCTTTTCAACAAGCAACTGTAAAAATCTGTGATGAATCCCAACCACAGGTCAATACAGCATGACGTGCCCTTTCCAACGAGCCCTGGATCACATTGTGAGCCTTCAGGGAATCAGAAACACAGACCCCGAAATCACCAGCCTCCTCATCTGCTGTCTTCTCTGAGGTGTCGATACCGTCATAATCATATAATCAGTGACTCGTCGACATGAAGATTAAAGTATCGTAACTGGGCAGTAAACTCAACTAGTCTGTTTGACCCCTAGTGCACAGGTTATTCCAGGTGGTTGCTAGGATGTTTCTAAGCAGTTCATATGTAATGAACTCACATCATTATTCAGTAACACTTTCTATGAAGGTCTCATTTGTAAGCATCTATAAACACTTTTATAACATGTTATAATGCATTCATAAGGCATTATAAACATACATACATACATACATCATCTAAACCGCTTATCCTTCTGGGTCGCGGTGGGGTGCTGGAGCCTATCCCAGCTGTCATTGGGCGGAAGGCAGGATACACCCTGGACAGGTCGCCAGTCCATCGCAGGGCAGCATTATAAACATGGTTATAAATATTTATAAAAATGAACTACACTGAGTTACACTTTATAGCCATGTTTATTATAGATTATGAATTGTTAATATAACACATTATAAGTAGTGTTAATGACATGCTATACTGTTAGTGCCAAAGAAGTCAGTCCTAGCTTGGAGAGCGTAAAGATAAGTACAAAGTTTATTTACACCCTGAGATTTCCAGTATTTTATTTCTCAGTGCTGGTGCTGTTAGAGGAGCATCTTCAGGGCTTCAGTCCTGAATATTCAGATGCTCCAAACAGGCTGTCCAGCCTAGAATCACTGCTACAATGTGCTTTTCTTACCCAGCGTCTCACTTTAAACACTACATTACATCACAGCAAACCAAGTACCCATCAGCCCCTCCCCTGACCCCCTCTGACATCACACTGAGCATGAAGCCTGGAGAGGGAGAGGTGAGATAGTAGAGTGCTGTTATTGTAATTTGTTCCCTCACTGGTTCTAATGTCAAGCTAGAACCCTTCACTCTGTAACATCACTACACTACAGTACAGTAATGCTAATTTCTGCTAGCATACTATTGGATATGCAGTGTTAAGTTAGTGCCAAGCTAACGATGGTGTACATTACCTTTCCCACATTGGGTAAAACACTGATGCAGCACTAGTTTAAACATTTGAAGCCTGTAATGAGCTTTACTGTGAATGTTTTAGTGTTTCAGTAAATCCTTCAGTAAATACTTCAACTTGAAGCCTCACTCTGAACACTGGAGGAGGCTTTAGTACAGTATGCTTCACTTTACTTAGAGCGGACAAATACCACTTATGAGCTCTTATAATTTATTATGAACAATACTTATAATGCATTAATAACCCATAATGCATAATAAGCATGGCTATAACATGTAATGCAATTTTATAAATATTTATAGCCATGTTTATGATATGCATGCATATGAATGCAATATAATATGTTATGAACGTGTTTATAGATGCTTGCAAACATGACATTCAAAGAAAGTGTTACCAATTATTAAAGTTATAAACAGCTTAAAAGCCTGAAAGGCTTTTACTACCAACAGAAAGAACATCAAAGACTTACAGTATCAAGACTAAGAGCCCTAAAGATTGACCC